TGGTCATGACATAACGTCGCAAATCGATTAGTAATCACATTTGGAAATCCGCATTCTCTTTCACGAAGAAGACGAACTATCGCAGAACAGTAACTTGTTTTGAATTTGATTCCATGTTTTTTCCCGTACTCGCGAATCACTCGCTTGAGCGTAGCCATGTCTCCTTCGCTCGACATTTTTAACAATCTGAAATCTTGCGAGCATTTATAAGAGCATTTATACGAGCAGCCATAATGCCTCGCGATGAAATCACATCGTCAAATTGACGTAAAAACTGCAATTTAGCATTTTGGTGAAGCGCCGATGTACGGCAGCTGTGACACAATAGATTCGCGTAATATTCTTTTAATCTAAATGTCTCGCGGTCATCGAACATATGTTAAAAAATGCAATTAAGCATTTTGATCAAGCGCCAATGCATGGCAGCGAGATCACGTCGCGATATCTGCAACATTTGCGAAAAATAGACCACACCCATTAGTTTCGGCATATATATTGTAAAGATTTTGATACACCTCGTCAGTGGTGAGATTTAATACAACCAGGTGATTGTGAAAATGTAACTCTCGTTAATGAACATTGAAGAAATGATACCACCCGACGATTACATGGAGGTAGAAGTAGCGCATGTGGAAGATGACCAAGAATTGATGGAAATAGAAGATTTTTCAGATGACTCAAGTAACGATAGTGATATAGACATCGAAGTGATCGAATTAGTAAGACACGGATTATTGTACCCAGATGATGTTTATGATCTGCATATCACAGATGTAAAGTGCATGCTCGAGTTCTATTATATAGACGAAGAAGACGAAAGCCTGAGAAGATACTGTTCCTCATGTGTCATTAGAGGGAATAATCAATTTTCATATCTTCGTCTCTTGCGAAGACACACTACCGAAGAATTTATACTCCACGATGGTTATTCATGCTGGGGATGCGAATGTCCGTTGTTTCAAATAATGCCGTGTAACATGTGCCCTATTTGCACAGAGTGAGAAAGATATATTTGTGTATTCGTGCTAAAAAGAATATGGAGCAAACGATAAGAGATCTGGACGAGCAAGCCACCCGGTTGATTACGCGAGAAGACTTTATCGCGTGGGAAGAGCGTGTCGACGAATTCATCGATTCACTCGATGAGCAGAGTCGAAATCCGCGATTATCGATCGGTGTGAGACAATCTGTCATCGCTCGTATCGC